GTAAAAAGTTAACTTAAAGACTCAGCATTCTTTGTTTACCAGCAACAATAACGACAAAAAATAGAAAATAAAAACAAAAGGCATTACTAAAAAGAGCAAAAACAAAGTGAAAAAATAAGCTTCAACTAGAAGATCTTTGACATTTACATTACATATAACCAACAAAGGTTGGCGGTGTTCAAAATATATTTAACAAGAAAAAAAAAACTCTTATGTTCCTAAAGGGCAAAGGATATGAACTGGCTATTCACAGAAAAGGAAACCTCTAGGATTGGAGGTTGGAGTTATGCAGCCACATTCTGGAAATGCCTGGAGACACTGAAAGCTAGAAGAACAAGGAAGGGTCTTCCCCAAGAGCCTTCTAAGGGAGCGCTGCCCTGCCAATACCTTTGTTTTAACTTCTGGCCTCCAGTAAATGTGAGAGAATAAATTTCTGTCCTTTAAGACTCCAAGGACAACAAATTGAGGAAATTTGTTATGGAAGCCCTAGGAAATGAAACCAATTCCCTAAGACTTGGTAGTTCCATTTCTAAATCTATTCCCTAGAGCACTGGGTCTCTACAAGATCCAACACCCTCCTTTTACAACTACTATTTTGCAGTTTACCCATACACATAACTAAAAAATAAACCAATGCCATAACGGAAAAAAATACAGAAATAAAATAAATTATATATTTCTATGTGTAAACGCTCAGGCAGAACTAAGCTAGAAGATACAATATTTGCACCTATTCACAGAATCAACATGAACTGGTCTGTTTCAAAAGCTGAATGATAGGTATTTGCAGCTCAAACACAAGCAGAGCTGCCACTGATGCCATGATTTTCTGAAAGAGTAAACTCTTACCAGAGTTCCGAACAAAACAAAGTACACTCTTTCCTCAATTTACATGGTAATTGCATTAGTGGAAAATTCACTGTATTTAAAAATATTTTTTTCCCAAAAAAAAAAAAAAAAACAGACTTTGTGTTTAAACATAAAACAGAGTTAGGTTCTTAATCTCTAATAATTATAAACAGGTTTTCATATACATATTCAATGGGACAGTCAAGTCATGCAGAATACCAGATAATCAACACCAGTAGGATCTCCCCCAACCACTATGGCAAACAAGGTAGCCCACAGATTTCTAGCATGCTCCCTAGGGCACAATATCTGCCCTTGAGAACAACTGACTCATGGACACCAGAAGGTATGTTCAAATATTCTCACTGCAACATTGTTTGTAATATTAAAAAAGAGGAAAACTGGTATTTAAAAGTCCATCAATAGGGGAATAGGAATTAAATCACTGTCATATAAATATACAGCATTACATAACAATTAAGAAAATTAACTAGATCTGTAAGAATCAACACTGACAGATTTCAGAAACAGTGAAGTGGAAAAAACAGATCTGCAGAAGGATACCTACAGTATGATACCATTTGTGTAAAGTTTTATAACAGAACAATAGTACTCGTAGTACGTAGGCGTACACAAATATGGAGTAAGCTTACAAAAACCTGAATGAAAAGAATACACTCCAACTTCAGGATATTGATTATGTTACCTCTAGGAAGGGACGGAGGAAAATTGGCTTCAGCAAGAGGTGCAAAGGGGCCTTAACTACATCTGTAACATTTTATTTCTTAAAAACAAAAATTTGCAGGAAACATGTAAAATGAGGATTTATTAAATCAGGGTGGGGAGAGATCACAGTATTTAGGTTTTCTTTTTCTGTAAGTTTGAAGTACTTTAGAGTTAAAGTTTTAAAAAGTCTGTATTCCAGGGAAATTTACTACCAGCTGCAGCATAAGTGAGTAAGGAAACCAGAAAACGATCACGAATGTTCACATGAACTGTGATTGAAAAGTACCCAGATCTCTTTGCCTCAATGCTATCAATAATTTGAGTGAGGTAGTGAGGTGAGGTGAGTATAGAGAAGAAAAATGGGAATTATACAATACAGACTAACCCCAAACTGACACAATTCACGTAAAGCAAATTGGCTGATTTTATTGCCCAGGCATTGGGCTTTACTCTTATACCTCCCATTTCTTCCTTCTATATACCTAAAAACATCTCATGAAAACGTCACTACTGAATAAGAAGAAGAAGGTAGAGTGAAGAAGCAGCAAATGTAGTTTTTCATATCAAAGATATGATGTTTCAAATATTAAAAGTGTAAGTGATGGGAAATATAATTTTTGGCTGCTCTTTAAAAACAAGTTACTTTGGCATATTACATCATTTTCCCAAGATTCCTTGAGAAAAGTCACACTTTCTTCCCAGCAACATATTTTCTCTCAAGTCACGGCTCTGTTGAGCAACACAAAATATTGCGTTATACACCAAAACCTTTCATGTTTACTATGTTTTTGCTCTCATATTACCACAGTATTAAACATGAGATACCACAAATACAAGACTACAGCAAAAAAATAAACATGGAAAGGGGAGAATGGAATGAAGTGCCCCACTTCAAACAGGCAGGTAGAAATAAAACACTTAATTTCCAGTTTAGAAGAACAAATTAAGTATCACCGTGATGGGGAAAAATTCAGACAATAACACAACATGGGATATTCTGTATCCGAGTCTGGTCTCCAAAAGGTAGCGTGCATAAAAAAACTTTTATAGGAATGAATGTTCATAGTAGTTTTATCCATGACAACCACGACTTGGTAACAACCCAAATAATCAACAATAAAGAGAATGGGTAAACATGTTGTGGTGTATGACAGAACATGATACAAATCACATGATAGAATGCTACCCCACAATATAAAGGAACTACCAATAGGCACAGCACATGAATGAGTCTCAAAAATACGATGAACAGAAGAAGCCCACACAAAATATTACACACTATATAGCTCATTTAATACGATGTTCAAGTACTGGCAAACTAATCTTCCCTGATAGAAATCAGAAGAGGAGTTCCCTCTGCGTGGGGCTTAAAAGGGGGAACAAGGGAATTTACTGTGGCGATGGAAGTGTTCTAAATCTTGATCCAAATAATGGTTGTATGAGTGTATGAATTTATATAAATCCACGGAGGGGGGAAAACATTGTGGGAAAGAAACAGTAGAACTGCTCTAAGTTAAAATGGACTAAAACAACCTAACGACCAAATGCAACATGTAAACTTTGAATGGATCCTGGTTTGAAAAAGTTAACTATACACGCCATTTTTGTTGACAACTAGGAAAACTTGGAAATGGACTAGATACTAAGAACTTATGGATAATTATCTTAGGTGTGATAATAGTATTGTGGTTATTTAGAACAATGTCCTTATTTTTAGAAGATATATGCTGAAGTATTTAGGCAACAATTTACTTTCATATTTTTGGTAAAAAATATTTATTTTTATACATATACAAATATAAAGATATATCAAATTAACGTACATAGGTCATGGAATATATTCACTGTACTATTCTCCCAACTACTCTGTATGTTTGGAAAATGTCAATAAAGAGTTGAGGTTACAGAAGATGCCCACTTACCTAGAGTGATCTTCAGGATACATTAAGGAAAGAAAACAAGCAAAGTGCAGACTAGCTTATATAATATGCTTCCTATTGTGAAGGAAAGTAAAAAAATATATATGGGAAGGGGGGAGTGTACAGTGTGCGTGTGTGTGTGTGTGTGTGTGTATGTATCTATTTGATTATATTACAAAGGGAAATACTAGAAGAATAAATCAGACACCAATAAAAATGGTTACCTACAGCAGATGAAAATAGATGGAAAACAGGTTTGAAAAGGGCTGGAAATAAGACTTCTCAGAGTGTATCATTTTATACAGTTTTGACTTTTATACCCCATAAATGTAAAGAATTAAATGAAATTGAAAAAAATGAAATTGAAAAGATGTTAAAAATATCTATGCTCACATGAATTCCTCCATTCAATCAAAGCCAAATCAATCAAGCTTGTTTAATGTGTGAGGTTATTAACGGTCTTTTTTGCTCCTTCTGAGCATCAGAGTCACTTAATGGGGTTTTTGCTGGTCAGAAAACTTAGCGTCTTCCTGCAGATCTGCCCCCTAAATAGTTGTGCAAACCTAGAAAAACATTTAGTCAAGCTAAGCCTCGATTTTCTCACCCATAAAAAGAAATTCAATCCAATGAAAGCTAAGATTTCTTAGAACTGTAAAATTCTGTGACTCAAATGTCTGTTGAAAAAAATGAAACAGGAATGTTTCCACCTGCATAATTTCTTAAGCCACGATGAACAACAAAGCTCCATTATACAGCCGTTCACTTTCCGCCTGACAACTTATACTGGGGAGAAAGGGTAGTGAAATAACTTCTCTCTCTCTGACCCCTTCAGGCAGTTGTCAGTTACCACCAAGTGCTTGCTCTAAGCAGGTCTGGATTGACCAAGGAAGGAAAGCAACATCCGGCCCGGTCAGGCAGCTGCTCTCGCAGGCTGCTAAACTGCATTGGTTAGCAGAAGAGGAAGCAGCAGCCAGTAACAAAGTCTAGAGAGGCCGAACTCAGGAGTTTTACTAACTGCCCTGGGCGCAGCGGTTCAGGGAACTTCGTGTATTCTTTTGCCAAATGAATACTCCTTTACAAAAAGGCTGCCAAGCTTTGGCAGCTGTGGGATGAAAAAAGCATCTGAAGCCAATACTATAGAGTTTCTGACACTGCAGTGAGTAAAATCTCTGCAGCCTTAAAGATAAAGCGACAGCGCCAGAAACTTTCCTCTCCAAGCCTGCCTCATACTCTGCCCTACCCGGCCTTCCTTTCTTTAAGACCTAGCCAAAGACCTAAAACAGTCCTGTGACTTCCCTGGAGGTTTCAGGGACTGTGCTACAGCGGCCTCATTGTAATGTGAGGAAAGACAGCAAGGAAAGCAGAGGATGCTTTGTGGTGGGGGGATGGAGAGCCTTGACCGCAGGGCGTGCAGGAAGGAAGTGGGGAGGGCTACTCCATGCAGCACCCAGAGGAATGGTGTTGGCTATTTAAGCACACGCGCGCGCACACACACAGACACACACACACACACACACACAGAGTTTTGCTGGGAGATGAAAGAGATGAGAAATAAAAGGACTTAGAGAAGTGGAAAAAGAAAAAAAGGACTGAAGGAGGAATTTTGTTTCCAAACTGCCTGCAGGTCTAAAATGGAGGTATGGAAAGACTTTTGGGGGGATTTCCTCTAGAAGAGAGAGGTTGGAGATTTCATCTGAAGAGGAGAATGAGAGGGTCCTGTAAAGAATGAGGGGGAAGGAGATCAAAACCCCTTGGAAGGGTCTTGTAAGATTATTCAGAGGGATGGCGTTTGCTCATGGCATGGAGAGGTCCAAGGCCCTTCACTTGAGGAAGGGCAGGGGGTTCTCTGCCTCAGCTGGATTTCCACAGCAAGCTGGGGGGACACTATCCTCTTCAGCATGTCTGGAGAGTGACTGGGTGGGGCTGAAGGTCCTCTGGAGCAAGTTTAGAGAATTAGTAGTGTCCCTCTAAAAGCTGGTGCCTTTCTTGGAGTGAAGGGAAGGATAGGGGTTCCTTCTCAACATCGGGAGAGTTTGGGGGCTGGAGGGGCCTGAAATGGTTTCCGAGGTATTGGCCCTGGGGTAGATGGCAAGGTGCTGTGTGCAATGCTGACATATTTCGGTTGCGGGGTGTGGAGGAAAGGCCCCTTCACTAATCAGAAGCTTGTTAATCTGTCTGAAAGAGGAAAAGCACCCCTCCCCGCCCCCCGAAGGCTGGGGAGAAGTCGGGCCAGTAATACTCTCACTAAAAGAACTGGAGCAGAGAAGAGGAATTTTAAAAGAAGACTCTTCCCCCACCCAATTCACTGGAAAGTTGAGAGGAGAGAGGAGGACTTTCGAAAGTGGTTTGGAAAGGATTTGAAGGAACCCAAACTGGAAGTTGGGAGGAAGCTAGGGGAGCTGAGGTGGAGGGGTTCGGTGGGGGGCGTCAGGCCTCTGTGTGGCTGGAGTGGGAGGGCGTTCGTGATTTTGAGGTTGGGGAAGAGCCAAATGACACGGGATCAAAGCTCCATAGGGATGATTCGGAGGGTGGAGTAGGTTTCGCGGTGACCCGGGGTTCTCGGAAGGGAACGGAGGCGGCGACCCTAGTAAATTCCGGGGGCTGACGACACCCAGGCGGCGGCGATGGGGGCGCGACCTGTACTCACACAGCGGATCTCCAGCGCCAGGGCGCACTGCAGCGCCTTCACCTTCGGCATCCGCGCAGGGTTGGGGCGGCGGGGAGGGACCCCGGCCGCGGACCCGAGGGAGGTGAGGAGACGCGGGGCGGGAACGGGGAGGAGACGAGGTGGCGGCGGCGGTAGCAGCTGTGCCCCCAGGCCGGGGCCCGCGGTCCAGCCAGGGTCCCGCCCGAGCGGCAGCCTTGCGCGGGGCGCGGACTCGTTGTCATGGCAGCCGGGAGGGGCGGGGCCGGAAGAGACGATAGCGGGGACGCGCCGGAGCCGCCGCTCGAGGGCGAGCAGCTGGGGGCGGGACTCAGAGAACGACGGGAGGGGCGGGGGTCGCTCGAGGAGGCGGGGCTTCCGAAGGGGCGGGGCGGGGCGAGGTGGGGCGAGGCGGGGTGGGGCGGGGCAGTTCGTCTGTGACGTCAAGCTATGGGCCCAAAGCCAGAAGAAGAAGAGAATAGCTGTATAATAGGACAGTGCGCAGGTCCGGGTGCTGCACTCAGGAGCCCTGAGTTCCAACGTGGCAGTGGCAACTTGAGCTAGTGGCGTCCCCCCGCGGCCTCAATTCCCAAACTGTAAAGAAGAATAACGATTATTCGTTCTCTTATTTGAATTTCCTTACGGTGTTCAAAGCCAGCATGAGAAAACAGGATTGGAGAAGAGACGTGCTCAATTCAAAGGCAGAACCAGGACTGGACCTCAGGAGCTCTCAAGTAAAAGGTTGCCTCCCTGAGAAGAGGGGCCTCAATCAAATCACCTTCCTCTTCCGAGTCTCCTATTCTGCGATTCTTCGTTAGTGCGTCGCCCCCCTCCCTTCAAGGTTTCCCGTCTAATCACCTGTGTATGCATCTCAGTGTATATTGTTTTAAGTTGAACTGTCAATGAGGGGCCGAAAATAGGTCCAGTTGCAAAGTGGCTGGGCCACAGACCATCGATGATTAAGGAAATCTAAGAGATTGCCCAAGCCAATCGTTTTAAAAATCATTTTTAGTGCGAAATACATTACACATACAGAAGTATATAAAACAATTTCATCTTAAACAATAATAACAATAAAGCAAATACCTGTGCAACTAACACCCAGCTTAAGAAATAGAACGTTACGAGCACCAGAGATATGTCGCAACCATTGCATTGCCTTCCTCGCCCGGGAAATAACCACGACCCTGACTTTTGTTACAGTAATTCCCTTGCTTTTCTACATACTTTTGCGATTCATGATTGCATCTCTAAACAAGGTATTGTTTAACTTTTTCCTGTTATTGATGTTATATAAACATAATTAATACTATATGTATTCTTCTGTGACTTGCTTCTCTCACTCTTCTGCTGTAGGATTCTCCCAACTTTGATGTTGTGTAACAGGAAGTTTTTTCCATTGTTAGACAGTGGAATATGTCCAACATAACATATGAATATACATTGATTTATTTATGCTTTTTACTATTGATGGTTACTTGTATTCTTTCCATTTTTAGCTATTGTCAACAATGTTGTTATGGACATGTACATGTCCACTAGTGCATGTATGCTAGAGTAGGAGTGATTGACTGGGTGTTAAGTTTTGCACATGTGGGACTTTAATAGGTAATGCCACACCATTTTCCAAAGTAGTTCTACCAAGTAATGTCTCTGCGGGGAATGTGTAAGAGTTCTTATTTTTCCACATCCTCACCAACATTTGGCATTGGTATTGAATGTTGAATTTTTGTGTATTTGGACTTGTGTAGTCTAGGTATCTCATTGTGGTTTTATTTTGCATCTCATTACTTTTGAGGTTGAGCACCTTTTCATGGTTTTATGAGTCTTTCAAATTTCTCTTTATGAACTGCTTAGTAGTTCTCTTACCCATTTTTCTACTGGATTCTCTCCATCCCTCTCCCTCTCTCCTGATGTATATTAGTTCTTCATATATTCTAGATACTAATTCTTTGTCTATTATATGTTGCATATATCTTCCTAGTTTGTGCTTGGTCTTTTAATTTTCCATATAATGTGTCACAAACAGAACATAAATTAAGTCACGGGTTATGAGTATTCTTAGTTTGACCAAATAATTCTAAGTTGCTGTCCTCAATGCCACACCAGTCTACACATCTACAACCAATGCCTGAGTGTAACTATGCCCTCACATTCTTCCCAACCTTGGCATTATCAAGCTTTCTTGTTTCCCCTAGTGTAACAGATGTAAAGTACCATCTCATTGTTGAATTTCTCAGATTACTGATGCATCTGAGCATATCTTTACATGTTTATAAGATTTTTGCTTTCTTTACGATCAATCGTCTGCTCAGATTCTTTGCCCATTTTTCTGCTGGAGTTTTTGTCTTTCTTACAAGAACTCTTCTGTACTCTAGTTATGTATACCTTGTCAGTTTCAGACATGCAAATATCTTCTCCCTTTTTCATCTGTTCATAAACTTTATCCAGGGTATACTTCAGTTAATAGAAATACCTAAATCAATCAATCATTTTTGCCTTACATTTTGTGTTTGTTTCTGACATTTTAAGAAGTCTTCCTTATTCCTAGGTGACAGAAATATGTCCTATATCTTCTTCTATCCACTTCATAGTTTTACTTTTCACATTTTGATGTTTAATCCATCAGGCCTCAATTCTTGTACATGGTGTTAGGAATCCAGGATCCAGGTTTTATTTTGTTTTGTTTTTTCTGCTAGAGAGTAAGCTAGATTTCCTAACAATACCAACAAAACATTCTATACTTCCTCTCATTTATTTGTGGCAGCACCTGTATCATATATTAACTACGTAAAATTCTGTCTTAAAGCTTCCTATTCTGTCCCTGTGTTCTATTTGTCTTTCTTGTAACAATATCACACTGCTTTATTACTGGACTTAATATCCATTCGGCAAGTTTCTCTCTCTCTCTCTCTCTCTCTCTCTCTCTCTCTCTCTCTCTCGCTTTTTCTCTCTCGATTGTTTAGTTATTTGTGATCCTTTATTGCTTCTTTTTATTTTAGAGTAAGTTTATTAAGTTTCTCAAGCAGCCCAACTGGAATTTTTATCGTTATACATTAAATTTATAGAATAATTCAGGGAATTGACATCTTTGTAATATTGCATCATCCCATCTAAGAACATAAAATGTTTCTCTATCACTTTGTCTTCTATGTTCTTTACTAGAGTTTTCAAGTTTTCTGTATAAATGTCCTACTTAATTCCTAGGTGTTTAATTATAGTTTTTTTCTTTCTACTATTGAGAACAGTTTCTTATTTTTCATTATATTTGCTAGTTATTGCAACTGTAGAGAAAATTTTATTTTTATAATTTATCTGTCAAACCTATTAAACTCTTACTGTTCGGAATATTTTCTCTGTTTGTTTCATTATTACTATTGATTTTTTTCTTACAGAGATGATATGCACTGTATTGGGTTTCTATTCCTGCCATAAGAAATTACTACAAACTTGGAGGCTGGAAACAACCCAAATTTATTATCTTACTGTTCTGTAGGTCAGAAGTCTGACACAGGTCTCGCTGGGCTAAAATCAAAGGACCAGCTGGGTTCCTTTCCGGAGTCTGTAGGGGAGAATCTGTTTCCTTTTCAGCTTCCAGATGCCACCAACATCCCTGGGCTCATAATCCCCTTCCTCCATCTTCAAAGCCAGCAAAGAAGAGTCAAGTTCTTCTCACAGTGCATCACTCTGACCTACTCTTCTACCTCTCTCCTTCCACTTTTAAGGACTCTTGTGATTACACTGAGCCCACCCAGATAATTGCCTTTTCTCAAGCTCATGTGATTAACAATTCTAATTCCATAACCTTAACTCTCCCTTTGCCATTTTAGATAATACACTCACAGATCCAGGGATTAGGATGGAGGCATCTTTGGGGGATTATTATTCTGCCTACCACAAGCACCAAAAGGAATGATAATTATATTGCATCAAAACACATCAGATGTGTTAAAAATCCATGAGGTGGTAAAGTTACTCAAAGGGGCAAAAAAGCATGAGTCAGCTTTGGGTGATTTAAGAACCAACTAATTCTGAAATCTGGTAAATAAAAGGAAAGAATCAAGCATTCATACTGAATTTCTCGTTGGAACTATACCTCAGGGTGACCAAGGAGTTGATGAGTTTTCTTTATAGAAAACTCCCAGAGATAAAGGAACAGGAAGAATAAAGAATAAGAATATTCATGGCTATTAAAACCATCAGTGAAAAGCTGATGAGAATTTTTGTCATAGAGAGGTCAGTTCGACAACACTTAAACACACTGACCAACCTTAACATCACAAAAAGAGATAATCAGACGTTATGCTCCTTCCGGGATAATGCAATAAAATACCACCTTTCGAGCCAAAAAAATCAAACTTGAATCTGACCAAGCATCCAAATAAGTCACCAATGTACAGGAAATACAATATTTAAAGTAACTAATTGGTGAAACAAAATAGGGATGTAAGCAGCAAAATGAAGACAATATGATTTTTCTTCAACAAATTGCAAAGGAAAAACAAAAATAAAAACAAAAAGGGAGACCCTGTGGACCCTGTGTATTAAAAGAGACTAAAGAGACATAACCTAATATAAAGTATTTATGAGGCAAGAGGGGAAATTTGAATGCTCACTGGATATATGAAGATCTTGAAGAATTTTTGATAATTTTGGGGGGAATGATAAGAGTGCCCAGGGTCTGGTTCTTAAAAAAAAGGAGCCCTTATCTTTTATAAAGTCACACACACTGAAGTATTTATGGGTGAAATATGATGTCTGGGATTTGCTTTAAAAACCTCCAGTGGAGGTGGGAGTTGTTAGTGACGGACAGTGGGTGAGGGTATGGATAAAACAAATCAGCCATGTAATTGTTGATGGCAGGTATGTTGGAGTTCATGACACTATTTTTTTCTTTCTTTTTTTTTGTATATTCTTAGTTCTATATTAATTCATACAAAAGAAAGTAGGTGTTGAACAGTGTCAAATGCTTTTTCTACACTGATTATTGAGATAATCATATGGGCTTTCAACTTTAGCCTATGTGTGAAACGAATTACATGGATAGTTTTCTGATATTGAACCTTCCTTGTTGTCTTACACTTTGTTGTTTTGTGAATATGCTTTTGTATTACGTTAGCTAGTATTTCATTTAGGTTTTTGCATATATGTTCATAAGAAACTTGGACCTATAATTTTCCTTCCTTTGTTGTCTTGTCCTGGTTTGGGAATCTGGATTCTAAAATAAGAGCATATATTAGACTGCATACTCTTGTCCACAGATCTCTGATGTTCTCTTCATTTTTCTTCAATCTTTTTTTTTCAGATCCTTTAGATTGTACAATTTCTGTTTATCTGTCTTCAAGGTAACTGACTCTTCTGCCATCCCTAATCTGATGTTAAGCCCATTCAGTAAAATTTTCATTTCAGTTCATGTGTTATTCAGTTCTAAAATTTCCATTTAGTCTTTTTTTTTTTTTTTTTTAACTTTCCACATGTCTGCTGAGATTTCATGCTCACTCATTAGGACCATATTTTCCTTTACTCCCTGAACATATTTTCCTTTAATTCTTTGAACATATTTACAATAACTGCTTTAAAGTTGTAGTATGCTATATCTGACATCTGACATCTATACCAGGTCGAGTTCTGTTTCTATTAGCTGCATGTTTTCAAGACTATGAATCACATTTTCTTGTTTCTTTGTGTGTCTAATGATTTTTTTAATTGAATACTGGATATTTTGAATAACACATTGTAAGACCCTGGATTCTGGGTTATCTATTATCTTTTCTCTGAAGAGTGTTGACTCTTGTTTTAGCAGGCAGTTTAATTACCGGCTGATCGCCTTAAACTGGTGGAGACTTAGCGATAAGTTGTTACTACAGGTATGTGGAAAGCCCAAGATGTTTCTATAGCCCCTCTAACTTGGTAAGACCCAACTTTCCAAACTCTGTCTCTCCTATGGGTTTTGCCAGGCTTGGTTATAGACTTTGTTAAGGCAGGTCTAGTGTGGGCCTTTCTTCTAAAGTGCAGCCTTTCTGGTGTATCAGCAGGATTCCAGAAGTATTAACAAAGTGTTAAAAAAAGATCTCTCCACAATGGAAGGTTCAGAAATCCAGTGTCCCCTAGCACTGCTTGATCTCAAGTATCTCTCTTCTGCTCCCAACCCTGTAGCAGCTGCTAAGTGGCAAGCCTCAGGTGGTCTCACCTGTGCATGTAAAGCTCATCCCTCAGCCTTGAAGTTTTGGGGAAACCCCTCATCAGTTTCTGTGCTCTCTCTGCACAGCTCCTGTCTTAGTTCAGGCTGCTAGAACAGAACATCATAGATCAGATTGCTTATAAACCACAGAAATTTATTTCTTATGGTTCTCGAGGCCAGAAGTCCGGTCAGAAGTCAAGACCAGTGTACCAGCACAGTTGGGTTCTGGTGAAAGCCCTTTAATGGGCTTCAGATAGCCATTTTCTCGTTGTATCCTCACATGGCAAAGAGGGTGAGAGAGCTCTCTGGGGTCTCTTATAAGAACACTAATCACATTAATGAGGGCTCCATTCTCATGACCTAGTTACCTCTCTCTCAGAGGCCCCAACCACAAATACCATCGCACCGGGGATTAGGATTTCAACATGTATATTGGGGAGAGGACACAAATATTCAGTCTATAGTGACTAGTTTGAAGGTGTTGCCTCTGTCACAGCCTTCAAGTTTCAGCCTCATACAAAAATTCAGCTGCCAATTTCCAAGCCCCAGGTGTAGAGTTTTTGGTGAAAATTCTAGCAGGTCTGAATAGCAGCATTGTGAGTGGCACCACTATAATTAACGATATCTCAGGAAGATGTATAACTGCAGGTAGCAGATAAAACAGAAATAGTACCACTTCTACACTTCCTCTCCTTTTATCCTCTATGAAATTTTATGGGAAGTAAGTCCAATAAAAAATGTAAGCTCTTAATCTTTCCCAGAGATCCTACCTCATTTGATGAATACTTGGTGGGAATAGGTTAGAACATTTTTTTTTCCTTTTATATAGTCAACTTTGCATTTATGAATGGTAACTTAGACTCCCTGGCTAAATGGTCAGAAGGTCAGAGACATTCTTAAAGACCTCTGTTATCTTTCATTCATGTTCAGTCTCTGTAAAGGAATTGACGTAGTGGCAACAAAGTCAGTGTCTTCATTAGTTATAAGCCTAATAACAATAAGAATAGCCATAGTAACCATTCAGTGATGGTTCATTATATACAGGCATTGTACAAGGTACTTTATATCCTTAATTATATATTCCACACATCTGTACGAGGTATTTGAATCCTCATTTAAAAAACGAGGAAGCAAAATCAGAGTAAATCCTTGCCCACACTCACACAGATAGTACCTGACCCAGCAGGAATGTAAACTTTAGTCTGCCCTGTTCCAAAGGTAGCCTTCTTTCTGCTATAAAATGGTGGCTCTCATTATTTATTAGTTTAATATTATCAATAGCAAACATGCCACTTAGTTTAAGATACAATACAACCAGGTAATCATGATGACAACAGTAACTCATATTAATAGAATATGTTATATATGTTATTATGATCTTGTGTCTGAATATAAATTTGTGTTTCTGATAGTACATTTCTATCACTTAAGCTGATTCTCAAAATGGTTCTGTGTATTTTAAAGTAGAACTATTTCTAAACCTCTAATGCTGGACTGCCGGCTTATTTATCACTGAGCTTGGTATGGAAGGTTTACAAGAAACAAGACTTTTAAAATTTCTGATGGAGTTTGAAATGAAAAGATAAAGCAGGAATCACTCTGTGGTAAGAATTTTCTTATATAGAACAGTATGAATTGTACCCCTTGGAAAAATGTGTTTTGTCTTGATATGTATTAGGCAGCTATAGTAATACATACCCTAAAGAATACTTTGTTTTATTAAGCTTGTGTCCCTATGTAAGATATGCCAGTTCAACCAATAATAATTAGATTGCCATTCCTCTGACTGAGTTTTAGAAAGTAATAAGCCAATGAGGAATCACTTCCAATTTCTCCTATAACAGCCTTAGAGAAAATGGCCGCGTAACAGGCCAGCTTACTTTAGAAAAGCAAGAAGTGGGTGTGGAAGGAGACACGGTAAAAGTTCTGAGCCCTAGTTACAAACTGAGTCTGCTGGAATTGGCATTACTTCCAACCTGGGGGGCAGCCTCCTGAGACTCAACTGTACTGGCTCCATTGCAGGAAAGATAAGGACCTGGGTACCCGTATGAGGGTCCCCAAATAGCTAGGAGCACTGCATCGATGGTAAGCCACATCCATCTTAGAGAAGACTTTCTGAACAAGGAAGGGTCCTCTTGTGACGTTGGAGCTAGGTAGCCGCTGGGGG